TGCACTCGATCCCCTTGTCCAGGTCATTGATAAAGACATTAACCAGCACTGGCCCCAGTACTGAGCCCTGGGACTCCACTTGTGACCAGCCACCAGCTGGATTTAACTCCATTCACCACCACTCTTTCGATCCTGCCATCCAGGCAGCTTTTTACCCAGCGAAGAGTACATCTGTCCAAGCCATGAGCATCTAGTTTCTCCAGAAAAATGTTGTGGGAGACGGTGTCAACGGCTTTACTAAAGTCTTTTAGGCAGACAACCACAGCCTTTCCGTCATCCACTAAGTGGGTCACCTTGTCACAGAAGGAGATTGGGTTAGTCTAACGTACTGTTTGCTATGAGGAGATCTGTGGTCCAAAAATAAAACCTCATATATCACCCATGTGGTGTTCTTTTTGTCACATAGTAATTTTTTAACAGTGCATACCTCCTTATTTATCCAGTCACAGCTTTAGTTGGTGTCCTCTGTAGTTACCCCTTTAAAAAAAAAGAGACAATGATGTATTTAATACTTGTCATTGATTGTCTTGAGTATCTTGCTACATACGTAAGAGATGATGTGTAACACTTTGAACATATGAGATGACTACTGAAAGCACTCTGAAATATTGAAAGGTTTTAATTGATGTATTTCCACTTAGTGAAATATTAATAAACAAATTGTGGCAGTGCAGTGTCCTGTCGGACAGAGTGTTTCTTGTAACTGAAAACTGGCAAGGTTGCAAATTGAAAATTGAAAATGTGAGCAGAATATAAAATATCTTCAGGATTTTTGCAGACATGCATGATATCCTGTCACCTCTGAGGGGCAATAATACAGGCAGTTACATGTTTATATACAGTTCTGAATAGCGTGTGAAAGCAAATACATCTTTGACACACCAACCAAGACACCATACCAATCTTGCTCCCTTTGTTCACTCTGTTATTATATTGCTATCAGATTCTGAGCCTCTGAAGTTTTAAATAACCTGAATGTATATTTCCAGTTGAGTTTAAACTTGAATTTGTTTTGTTGGTGGTACTAAGTAATTAAGAATTGGATTAATTCTTGTAAGCTTTGATAGTTTCAAGAAAACACAATTGTGTTTCCAACAGGCATATAGGAACACTTTCCACTTAACTTATCTTTGTAAAAGTGTTGAATACAGATAAATAAGTGGAGTTGGTTTTGTTTGTTTTATAGGTCTACCTCGATCTCGTAGTCAGACGTGCCTGCCTGAACTGTTAAGATTTCTGGGACAAAATGTACATGCAAGGAAAAATAAGAATGTTGATATCCTTTGGCAAGCTGCTGAGGTACTTATTAATTTAAGCATCTCTGCATAGTTCAGCTGATTTTCTGTATGCATATGTATTTTCCCCTTTTTTATTATATACTTCATTTGCTTGCATGTAGCTTGGAAATGCTGTCAGGTTAAACCTCCTCTAGAATGAGACATGGGGAGATAAAATGTACTTTCCACATTAGTA